CCATAGCACACCCATGTTTCTGCCTATAATATTGCTCCCCATATGTGAAGTAGGTTGACTGCAGGCACAGTTTCAAGAGTTGACACAGTTGTTCTGTGGAAAGCGTGGTCCTGCTGCTCAGAGTGGTGTCTGATTTTAATTTTAAACTGACCACCTCTACTGCATCATCAACAGGAATGCACGTAAAGAGTGATGTGACATCAAAAGAGACCATTGTTTCATCAGTCTCCATGATGACATCCCTCACCTTATCCACAAAGTCCATGGTGTTCTGTATGTGGTGTTCTGAGCTGCCAACTAAAGGGATGAGTACAGACGCCAGATATTTGGAAACATTGTAAGTGACAGAGTTAATCATGCTAACAATAGGTCTTAAAGGTACACCTTGTTTGTGGATTTTAAGTAAACCATACAGACTAGGTGTGGCCTCCCCTGGGTACAGTCTGTGGTACAGAAAACGGTCAATAGCCTTGTCCTGCTCCAAATTTTTCAGGCAATCTATTAACTTCTTCTTGTAACCACTTCCTGGATCTCTTTTCAGAGGTTCATAAGTGGTTAAGTCACTAAGGAGTGTCATAACTTTCTCATGATAGTCTTTCTGGTTCAAAATCACTGTGCACACTCCTTTGTCTGCTGGGAGAATGATGATGTTTTTGTCCTTGCTAAGAGTGGTGAGTGCATCCCTCTCCTCTCTACTGATGTTGGAAGCTGGTGGTTTGGCATTGCTGAGGCAGGATGAAACTTTGATTCTGAGCGGTTCTGCTTCACCCTCTTTCATTTTGTTGTTGCGGATGGCTGATTCGGTGGCTGTGATCATCTCCACCAGAGGAATTCTACTTGGTGCAACCGCAAAGTTCAGTCCCCTGGCAAGAATCTCTGTCTCCGGCTGGGCGAGCTGTCTGTCAGATAAATTCTTCACCCACTTTTCTGTCTCCCTGACATGTAATTGACTACTGGAGTGTTGTCCTACACTGAATGTGTTGTTATTGGAATAGTAATGGTGTTGATGAGTTATTAGTAAGTTAAACTTGTTTTGTTGTTGAGTCTTGGACTTGACATGCTGTGCTAAGCGTGCCTGATCTGTACAGTCCAACACTTGCTGAAGTGTGGTCTGATCTAGACACATAGTTAGTTTCTGTTTAATGTGCACTTCTTTGGCCTTCAAGGCCTCAATAGTAAAATTGGTCTGTCTCACCCGTTCATTCAGCAGCTGGGTCTGTGCCTTCTGAAGGATCTTGCTTGCCCGGTGCCCGGTGCCCGCTGACCGATGATTTTTGTTCCAGGCTCTTGGGAATGATGCCACTTGATGCCTCTCTGATAGAGGACATTTGCAAACTGAGGTGTACCGCAAACCCACCCACACAGACCAGTATTTGCAGTTTGACTCCCATCACCCTTTGGAGCACAAGTTAGGAGTCATCAGGACTCTGTATCACAGAGCAGACAGCATCCCCACTAACTCGGGAGCCAGGCAGAAGGAGAAATCCTACACAAAACAGGCTCTAGAGCAATGTGGATATCCTAACTGGGCCTTCCTGAA